TGATAGGCAGAGGCACCCCCAGCTCTCTTGGCTGCTATCCAATATTTATGGAAATACATTTGTGCTGCGTTGGAGATCCTGGGCTCTGACCTTGATCGCCCTTTGTTTCTGTCAAAAATCTTCTGCCAAATCCACTCTGAAATCTCATTTATTCCCAGCAGCTCCTTAACCCAGCGCTCACCCACCTCCCCACTGATCCACAGCACATCTCTGCCCCCTCCCCTGCTTTCCCCACAGCCCCAAATCCCAGCCCCAGTGTGATCCCAGCCCAGCAGGACTCCCTGTGGATCCCTGGGAGGCTCAGCTGCTGCTGAGGTGTTCACAGTGAGCAAAGTTATTCTCTTCCCAAGGAAAAAATGTTTTTTCCGCTTTGATTACTTTTCCCTAATTACTCCCATTTCTCAGTGACAGTCACATCTCTCCTATTTTCTTTCCCTCCTGCCATTCCTCCTCTTTCCTTTCCTTTCTCTTCCCTTCCTTTTTTCCCCACAGTAAAAGAGATCACTAGAAAACTCCAGTGCAGTAAGAATTTTCTGTTTGCTTCTTGTCATCAACAAAAAAAAAGAGTAAACCTTCCTCAAATGAGCCTCCTGCCCAGCCCTCCCCCACCCCTTCAAGCACTTCTTCACTCATCACCTCCTGTGCCATCTCTTATTCCACCCATCCCTGCTTCCCTGTTCTGCAGCTCCCTGCACCCCATGCAGGGATTGAAAACCCCCTTAACTTCTAAAAACTCCTGGGTGGGGGGGAAAAAAGGGGAGATGAAGTGACAGAAAGAGTAGTGAAGAGCCATGGCATGGAAATGTGGAGCTGGTCCATGGGCAGATCCAAGTGCTGGTGCGGAGGGTGCTGCTGCTGAAGGGATGAGCAAACAGAGGGATGCTGGATTTGAGGTTTCCCCATGAGGGCAGAGCTGCTTTGCTCAAACCAGGCTCTCCATCTGGCAGCCCATGGGTGAGCTGGAGCCAGGAGCAGGGCTTGGCACTCAGCAAATCCTCCTTCACTCCCAGCTCCCATCCTGTCATGGGAATTTCTGTGCTGATTAAACTCCCTTGGGTTGGTCACCTGCACAATGGGAGCAGTAGGGTAATCCTTGAGAGGCGCTGGGAGGTTTAATGCAGTCTGAGGGAAATGTAGGACATCCCAGGACAAGACACACACACAGGGGACAGCAACCTGCAGCTGGATTTTCTTTATTCACTTCTGAGCTCTCAGGAAAAAATACCAGTCCTATGGTTCTCGGTGATTCCTGGCTCATGTCTTATCAGCAGTTAGAGATTTGTTCATTTTTTTTCATTTTGACTTAAAAAAAATCCTAAGGCTCAAGTTACATTTTTAGAGTAAAAGTCTGGCCAATGTCAAAACATTTTACCATGAATTGCTTGTTGTTTCTCATTGTATTCAAACACACAGACATGGCAACCAAAGCAGGAAATAGCTGTGTGTGCAAAAACCTGTGTGAGCTACAGCAGAGAGCAGCAGGGAGGAGAGAGGCTCCAGCTCCAGCATTTGCATCAGCAGTGCTGGTCCTGGAACAAACCCAAAACCTCTGCATGTTGAGCTCACCTCCCCTGAGCCCTGAGCAGGCAGGGCTCACTCCCAGACTGGCCTCCCATTGCTACCTGGGTGAAATAATCCCTCTCTTTCTGGAAGTGTTGGCAAACAGAATGGTTTGGGTTTGAAGAGACCTTAAAAATCATCTAATTCCAACACCATGGCAGGGACACCTCCCACTGTCCCAGGCTGCTCCAAGCCCCATCCAACCTGGCCTTGGGCACTGCCAGGGATCCAGGGCAGCCACAGCTGCTCTGGGCACCCTGTGCCAGTGGGAGCCATTCCCTGTGTCCTGTCTCTCCAGCCCATGTCCCCAGTCCCTCTCCAGCTCTCCTGGAGGCCCTTTAGGCACTGGAAGGGGCTATTAGGTATTAGCCAGATGAGTTTAAAGTGTTCTTTCTGTCCAGGATTCTTCTGTGCCCTGATGTGCACGTGCTGCTCCCTCAGCACCCACAGGAGCTGCAGGTGTGCTCTGGGGCCAGCACTGCCATCATGGGCTGGTGCTGCAGCAAAGGGAGACTGGATTCCCTGTGGCATTCACATTCTCTGGAAAAATCCCTTTGCCCAGGATTTTTCTCCTGGGAAGCTGAGAAGCCTCAGAGAAAAGGAAAACAATTCTTATCTCATTTGCTTCTCCTGTGTTGTGCTCATGTGGAATGTGTTTGGAGATTGTTTACCCACAGGTGATTGTTTCACTGGGTTCTGCTGTGAGTTGTTTTCACTCTTTGGCCAACCAGGGCCAAGCTGTGTCAGACTCTGGAGAGAGTCACCAGTTCTCATTATTCTCTTTTTAGCCTTCTGTATTCTTTCTGTATTCTTTAGTATAGTATTCTTTAATATAATATCATAAAGTAATAAATTAGCCTTCTGAGAACATGGAGTCAAATTCATCCTTCCTCCCTGCCACAGATATCCACACAAATTCAATAATTCCCCACCAAAAGGGATAGAAGGTGTTACCCTTCAGTGGAAAAAAGGCTTTGATGGGAGGGTAAGACAGGATTTAATTTTGACCTAAAACTGCAGCACAGCTCACTCCCTGACCCCTTTGCTGCTGGGGCCTCTGAAGATGTAACACAGCCCCAAGGGTTTCCAAAACTGAACAGTTTCAGTTCACTCTCAGCTGGGAAATTCAAGGTTCACTGGACTTTTTTTATTTTCGTGGTAAGGGGCAAACAAATCTTAATCTCTCTATTCTACATTTACAGCCCACTAAGTCCCCTTCTTATCTTCTGTGGCTTGGCCCTGATTTATTGTCACCGAGCTGCATTTGTAAAACAGTACCATAAAGTAAGAAAGAGAACATTTCCCAAGGACTACTCCAAAATAAATTATTTCAGACTCAGAGAAGCTGCTTAATAAATCCCCCTCTTCTTTTTTTCTTTAGGTATTTTAGAAAGTGATTTATAAGTGCAATATCACCTCTCAAAAATGAGACAATCAACATGGGATAAAATTATCATGTTATGAAAATAGGGGTCAGGCAAAGGGGCTGTGCTTTAAATTAAACCAGGGAAAAATATTTCATCTGAAATTGACTCTTTCTGTCTCAGAAATGAATGTTTTAATCACCTAAGAACCTAAAAGGTAACACAGAGCCCTCAGTAATATTTAATTCCATAGAAATATGTCTCTGTTCAATATTGATGGGCAGAACATGATATTTCTCTTAAACACACCAACAATGAAACTCAGAGACTCATCAGGACTTCAGAAAGCCTTGGGATTTTCCTAGACCAAGAGATAATATCCCATTTAAATATTTAAATATCACTACCTTTCAGACCCTTATCTATTGAAGCAATCAACACCAAGCGTTCCCCAGCTAGGCAGGGCCAGGCTCCAGCCACGCTCTTTAAGTAAAATTAACTCTGTTTGATATCAATGTCATTCAAAATCAATGAGCTTAGAGAGAAACAACGTCCAAAACCAACCACGGGGCTGAAGCTGCTGGAGAGGAAAATGGTATTAAGCAGCAGCAGTATTAATTCAATATCACTGTCAAAATCAAGCCACAACCTTTGCTCAGTGCTGCTGATGCAGAAGCACTGTAAGCTCTAATTAGCCCTGGAGTTTCTTCCCAGAGCCTCACTTTACTTCATTATCCCTGCCTTGTTTATCCCTGCACGAGTCATTTGAAACTTTGCAAGGTATCCCCTTCCCACGGCGTGAGCCGGGAGGCAGTTGGAGTTTGTGAGAGCAGGGAGGGATCCTGTTCCCCCTGAAATCAATAGGAGAGCTTTCCTTCAGGGAGCATCCTCCTGCTCCTCCTGCTGGTGCCACCCTGGCAGGGGTGACAGGGAGGAAGAGGAAGGACATTGGGGCTTTGGCTGGCCACCTTGCCATGGGGTTTGGGACACATGCACTTCACTTGGTTCAAGGAGTGATGTCCTTTTGGTTTTGCCTTTTTTTCTATGTTTTCTGTATTCTTCACACATATATTTGTAGCTCTGTCACCTACTGTATTAGCAACTAGTTTTCCCCAGTAATTTTCCATGGCCTTTTCCAAGACAGAAAACCAAAACAAATTCCAGAGCTCCAAGCCCTGGCGGGTACAAGACCCCAGTTCTGTCTCGGTTCTTCCTGGGAACCAAGGCTGAGAACAACTCCTGGAGATGCATTTCATGGACAGAGAACAGCCATTGCCAAGGGGGGACTCCAGAGAAGGGGCTTGACCTGGGGGGGAATTGCCTCACCACTTGTGCTCCTAATTGGTGCTTTTTGTCAATTATGCTAATTTCCTAAAACCTATAAAAATGTACTCATCCCTGTGAGGGTGGGCTTTTATGGACATCTTTCCATAACTGCCCCTGAAATCCTTCAAATAAAAATCTACTTTTATATTCACAGAATTCACAGAATGACCAGGTTGGAAGAGACCTTCAAGATCATCGAGTCCAACCCAGCCCCAGCACCCCAACTAAACCCTGGCACCCAGTGCCACATCCAGGCTTTGTTAAACACACCCAGGGATGGGGACTGCACCACCTCCCCGGGCAGCCATGCCAGAACTTTATCACTCCTTCCATGAAAAACATTTTCCTAATATCCAACCTATATTTCCCTTGGTGCAGCTTGAGGCTGTGTGCTCTGCTTCTGTCAGTGCTGGTTGGAGAAAGAGACCAACCCCCAAAATATCACCTCCTTACTAAAATTATCTCGAGCTTCATTTCCAAACTGGGGAAAAAGGCAACAGGAGAGTGTTCCACACAGTGGGGGGAGGAAAACCCTTTGCCCTGATCCTGAGTGGTTAACGAGGCTCAGGAGGACACCAAACGAAGCATGAAACTGCCACCATGAGTTTCACCAGGTGACCACACTCACTCCCCAGCTCCTCCCACCCCTCATGGCAAATAGCTCACCACCAACACCTTCCCCTGCTCAGCTCCCTCACTGAAACACAGAGTGCTTTGGAGGGAGGGCAGAGGGAGGGCAGAGGCACTGACCGTGGGCAGCTGGCTGGAGAGGAGGTGCCCATCCTGGCTCAACATGTTGGACACCATGATGGCTGGCAGGTCCATGTTCTGGTAGGGATAGGCTGGGATCAGGCTGTTGGGAGGGAGGCTGTGGCACAGCGAGTGGTATCCAGTTTCATGGTCCACCAAGTGCAGGAGGGACGGGTCGGGGAGGTTGGGAGGCGTTATGGGAGGGATCTCGTAGTCCTCGTTGTTCTCATTCTGACCGTTGTATGTCTGAAACACCAAAGAGACATTTTTGTCACTGATATGTATGAAAAGTGCAGATTTTTAGAAGCATGTAATGTACTTAGGCAGGTGGAGGAAAACAGAAATATATTGAAATAACAGAAATATGTTTAACAAATTTATTTAACCAATTTGCTTATTTAACAGATCTGCAACAGTACAGAATGCAGTTTGCAACAGGAATGTAACTTGCTAGGTAGAGACAACTTGTAACAGAACACATAAGAATTTAGTTGCTAGGTAAAGACCATAAAGATAAGAAAACTCAGTAAAGCAAGACTTATGTATTGTTGAAACCCACAAAGCAGAACCTTTTGATTAAGGAGCCAGCAAGAACCAGGCTCCTGGTTTTGGCCAGAACAAACTGACCTGAGAGAAAGCCAAACCTCCACTGTGCCTGCCCAGAAGAAAGAACATTGAGGAAGATGATGTTACTTCATCAAAGATGCCCACCCAGGACCACCAGGAGGTGTGGCACCATCCAAGACTCTGGGCAGGGAACGGGCAGACAGGGAGGTGTGGGCTTGGGGGGGTCAGTGTGTATTTAAACCTGAAACTGTCTCACCAGGCACACGTCTTTGGTGGAAATATCCCCAGGGCTTTGGTGGAAATACCATCCATGTCTTAGGTGGAAATACACCCCCATCTGACCCAGCTGCAATAAGACATACCTGATTTACAATTTTTAATTGTAAAGTTCTTATTCTGCAAATCATCACTGCCTCGCTGCTTTGGCAAATAAAAATTACTATTTCTCTAAGAAGCACAGATTCCAGTGGAAATGGGTTTGTTGTGATAACAAAGACACCTCCAGTCCTGCACACCAGGTTGTAATGGGGTAGGAGCCAGGGTGTGAGTGTGGCAGCACTGCTCCATCCATCAGGAACACACCATGGAGCCCCTTGAGGCATTCCCTCACTGCATCCCTGCTCATCTCTGAGCCCCAAAAACCTCAGCAGAAACTCCCACACCTGGACCACAGCCATGGAAGGGCATGGCTGCCTGCTGCAGCAGGTCAAAGTCTCTCTCTGGGCACCCATCAGCACTCAGCCTACTGCTGGTATTTTTAAGAACTTTTGTGAGAATTAGAGCTGTAGAAATAACAATTACTTACGATCGCAATTCAGAGAATTATGGAACAGTTTGGGTAACAAGGGATGTTAAAGCCCATCCAGTTCCATCCTTGGCACAGGGACATCTTCCACTGTCCCAGGCTGCTCCAAGCCCTGTCCAGCCTGGCCTTGGGCACTGCCAGGGATCCAGGGGCAGCCTCAGCTGCTCTGGGCACCCTGTGCCAGGGCCTGCCCACCCTCACAGTAAAGCATTTCCCCCTAATATCTAATCTAACCCTGCCCTCTGTCAGGTTAAACCCATTCTCTCTCATCCTAACTCCTCAGAATCCTAAAAAACTCCAGCACAGAAGCTACAACCAGGGAGGGGGATTTGGAAACACAGCCATCACTTAAAAAAAACCCTTTAAAGAAAGCCTGCATGACTCCACCACACATGGAGATTTATCCTTCCTTATATCCCCTCCCAAATTTCATCTGGAAAAGCATTGCCTCACCTCCCTACTAGCACTCCCTCGAGGTGACACAGACATGCAGAGATGTTGGAACTCTGTCTGCTCCCCATGTTTTCTCATGGCTTGTTTACTTCTAAGCATTCTCATTTATATAAAAATATGTTATCGCACCTGTGCAATCATTTTCACTTCAGACAAAACCATTTTTTCTTCATAACATGTGAATTTATCCAAAATTATTAATTGCCAACACAGAATATAATGAATCTCTGGCAGAGGAGGCTTATTCTAAACATCTACTGTTTCACCTATTATTATAGCATATGAAATTCTGATTAGCTATAGCATTACACACATGCTAAAGCTGAATTTCCCAGATCACCTAGTTTCATGGTTGGATTTGGACTTAATACTTGATTTAAGAGCAAAACCCCAGATGTTAAAAAAACAGTTAAGCACTGTAGGCTTTAATAATCCATTGTCCCAGAGCTCACCCCTGGATTTGTGCTCTTCATCACCACAGACTGTGGGGAGAAAGTCCTTAATAAAATAAAATAAAATAAAGCCTGTGGAGGACTGGAGCACAGAAGTCAGTGGGAGAGGCAGCAGGGAGCAAGGAGGGATCTGTGGATTGGTGAAAGGGCACTGCCAGGGAGGACCATGGCTCTGTGGGGTGTCAGAGCAGGGGGCACTCCTGCCTCACCCCACAGCTGGGGCTGGAAGAGGCTCATCCTCTGCTAAACTGAGCCCACACCTCTCACCACGCTGCAGAAAGGAACAAAAAAAGCAGAAGGACAGGATGACATCCAGGGGAACCTGGACAAACTGGACGAGTGTGGCCACAGGAATTTAACGAGGTTCAACAAGTCCAAGGTCAAGGAGCTGCTCCTGTGCCAGGGCGATCCAGGCAGTACAGACCAGGAGAGGTGAATATTGAGAAGAGCCCTGTGAGAAAAGGACCTGGGGATTGTGGTGGAGGAAAGGCTGGGCAGGAGCCAGCCCTGTGCCCTGGCAGCCAGAGCCCCCGTGTGCCAGGCTCACCCACACGTGGGCAGCGAGGGGACCCTGCCCCTCTGCTCCCCTCTCAGCACAGCCCACCTGTGGGGGGCTGCCTGCAGCTCTGGGGGCTCCCACGGGAGAAGGACATGGAACTGCTGGAGCTCCAGGAGGCCATGGAGATGCTCCAGGGGCTGCAGCACGTCTGCTCTGCAGAACTGGGGTTTTTCAGCCTGGAGAAGGCTCCAGGGAGAGCTCAGAGCCCCTTCCAGGGCCTAAAGGGACTCCAAGAGCTGGAGAGATGGAAGAAGAGCAATGGCTTCACACTGAAAGAGGGCAGGGTTAGATACTGGGAAGAAATCCTTCCCTGTGAGGGTGGGCAGGCCCTGGCACAGGGTGCCCAGAGAAGCTGTGGCTGTCCCTGGATTCCTGGAAGTGTCCAAGGCCAGGTTGGACAGGGCTTGGATCCACCTGGGATAGTGCCCATGGCAAGGAATTAGAATGAGATGAGCCTCTAGGTCCCTCCAACCCAACCCATTTGATGATTCTGTGATTCAAGAGCAGGTTCTGCATATCTGACTCCCACTGGCTGTGGGGAAACAGGAGCAGGACAGAAACACAAGAGAGAGCCTGGGCTGTGACAGCTCTGTACCCACTGTTACTGTTTGGGGAAAATTCAAGCCCAGCTCTTCTTCCAGGCAGCTTCTGTCTGTCATTGTTATGATACAGGGAAGCAGTGGGCTGGGGGATGTACTCAAGGCAGACAGAGAGATCCCATTTAATACGTCTCGTAGCTGGGTTTCCATTTGGGCTACGCTCCTCGAGGTACACTGATTCTTTCCCAGTTATTTAAGAGGATTTCTCTCCATGCTTTACAGAAAGGGATTTAAATAAATCAGCGCACAGCAAACTTGTTCCTCCAACTGGTTTATTTTGGTATCAGGTATATAAGCAAGTGGCTTTGCTGTACTTAACTAAATTATGTAAAACCCACTCAAAGTTTCCTAAAGCTCTCTTCAAAACTACGAGTCCCCTGTGTTGCTGCAGAGCAGCTCACCCAAGGGCTTTGAGGTGGTTTTGTACAGGGTGCCAAAGCCCCAGCACCCTGCTCACCCCCAGGCACGTTTCTGCCTCTGTTCTATTCAACCCAGGGGGGAAAAAAAAGAGAGAAAAGAAAAAAAAAAAGACCTGTTTAAATCACAAAGCTTTCCGAATAGCTACAGCATTTTGCAGACGTATCAAAATTACAATCAAAGCTGTACACAATCAAAATCAGATTAGACAATATCCAATCAACATAATCAGCGTCGGCGCCTGCCAGCTTTCACACCCTGTGCTACCCAGCTTCCCAGAGCAGGCTGCCCTCACTCTGGTGTGCTTGAAATTGATGGTCAGAGAGATAAGGAAGGGAGATGAGGCACGCAGACTCTCAGAAGCTGGGGAAGGGGGTGATTTATTGTCACACACAGCGCGTGTTGATGTGTCCACAGTGACACTCTGTCCCCACAAGGAGTGGTCTCACGCGATGGGCACAGAGCCGTCCCCTCAACCCCTCTGCAGCAACACCCAGCTCCTCTCCACCACCATGTGGGCTCTGTGGCAGATTATATTTCCCATTCTTATGTTAATTTGAATTAAATTAAACAGCCAATTATACGTTCTAAGGATACATTACAAATTAGATTAGCGGGCTGGTCTGAAGCCATTCATCCCACCAGGACTCCGAGCGGGGAGCAGCTCGTGCTGCTGAATGGCTGCCCATTTACTGTGCACAAAAAGGCATCGAGGATTTTCCACTGTCAAACAGATGACAGTTGTTGTGATTACACATTATTCCTCTTCAAATTAAAACACTGAAATCAGCTGAAACAACAAGCCTCTTCTTGCAAACCCTCTCGTGGCTGGTGCTGCCGGGCAGATGCCGGGGCTGCTTGGAGCAGGGAAGCCCTGCAGTGGGGTGGAGACACAGGATGGAGCCTGGCCCTGTCACAGAGGGGACAGTGCCCCTCCTCTGAGTGCCCCCCTTGCTCTCAGCCCCACAGGTATCCCTGTGCACCAGCTGTAGGGGTTGTACAGGATCCACCTGCCCTGAGCACGGCCCCAGGGTTATCATAGAATGATAAAATAGTCTGGGAAGAGACCTGAAGGATCAACTCATTCCAAACCTCCTGCCGTGGGCAGGGACAACTTCCACTATCCCAGGTGGATCCAGCCCCTGTCCAGCCTGGCCTTGGGCACTGCCAGGGATCCAGGGGCAGCCCCAGCTTCTCTGGGCACCCTGTGCCAGGGCCTCAGCACCTCATAAACCTGGTTCTGCCCCATGCTTGCACAGGATGGCATCACACCAGATACAACCAACCTCCAACAGCAGCAAAATTGTATTTTAAAACACTTTTTCCATCTTGAAATCCAAATCTGAGCAGGGGTCCCTGCACCATCTCCATCCAACAGCAGATTCAGGGCTGGA